GGGGGGGGGAAGAGGGCAATTTACTCTCCTCCCATTTTTCCCTATTAGCAACTATATTCAAAGCAGGTGGTCGGCTGTCAATATGACAAACCCATTACTCTCCTCAGAATTGATACCGGCTCCTGTTTTGAGTTAGTGAAGGAGGACTAAAAAATAAACAACACTGCTAATTACTATGGGTTGAACAGAGCACTGTTTATAATTGTGTATCCTTTGCTGCCATGAATATAAATGTAAAAGCTATATGCTAGTTTAAAAAATTAAATGCACTTCAGCCTTATTGCTGTACATTTGATTTTCTTGTCTTAGATTAAACATTATTGTGTAAGTAAATGCAGAATCTCAATCTACCAACTCTCTCAGAACTGTTTTTGTTTTATTTATAAAATGTGTTGGAGTAAAAGCTTTAAAGAAAGAAAATATACTTTGATTACTCAAAGAAATTAAATATGAGAGAAGCATGGATAACAGAATTGCAGCTTTTTTATACAATACCAATGTAAAAGAGGAGAATATATTTTGTTTAAGAAGTTTTCTTCTATTGTGAGGTGCCACTTTAGTCAATATTTTAGGAAGGTGTATAATTACAAGATACTAAATTGCAGCTTTCCTAGATTTACTTTCAGATTTTTTATATATAAAAATAAAAAAATTATGAAGTGTACTTGCTGAGAGTGCACAAGTTGCCGATTATGTTATCCTTTTAGAAACATTATGCATTCATTTTTTTTATAAAATTTGCTTGATATACCACTTTACTATATGTCTGCATTTTCTTTCACTTCTGAAATTGCCTTTCTTTTTATTTCAATCTTATTCTTTGTTGAAATGACCATTATTAAGGTGTCATAATTTACCAAGTGACCACTTACTGGTATTTGAGATTCCAGTTTTCCTCTGTGCCATAGTAAAGGAAGTAATTGCATGTGTCTGTTGGTAAATGATATTTTTAAAGGCATTTTTTAAGTTTTCAGAATGGTATGTGCAGTACAAGTTTTACTTCCAGAGTTTGTCCCCACAGATTAAATGCAAAAATGATCTCACAGCACATGAAACAGTGGTTTAATTTGTCTGGCTTGTTGGAAGAAGCATGTTGCCCCTTATAGGGTTCAAGAGCCAAAGTTACTTGCTACAGCAGCAAGCAATTCCATGCTTGGTTAGAGTGGGGACACTGATCCACTTTTCCCACCAGGTGACCACGGTGTGGGAGGGGGTGAGGCTGTGTATGCCCACATTTACAATAAAAGCCTTTTAAAATGGGTTTTAAAGCTGAACCATGCTGAACAGCACCCTGCTCTTCCTTTCTTGTATGTTGTTGAAATACCGAGTTTTGTCATGATTTTCTCTGCTCGATAGGGAAGTTCCTCCTTTCTTGGGCGGCTGGGAAGGAATATTTCCTGATACCCCATCTTGCCTAATCTGGCTATGTTTTTGGCCAACTCCACAGTAGGTAGGAGCTGACTAGGAGGAAAAAATGAAAGGGGGATTAGGCTTAAAATATTTTTAGTCCAGTGTTGCAAAATGTTTTGGAGCAAGACTTAATGACTTTTATGTATATTGTCTTTTGTTTCAAAAATTGAAAAATATGTCTACTAATTACATTTTGTGCTTCAGGTTTATGGGTGACTCTGAAACTTCTTCCAGGAGATATCCATCAGATTAGGAAAGAGTTTCCTCACTTGGTTGATAGGTCCACAGCTGTGGCTCGGAAAATGGGGTTTCCTGAGATTATTATGCCTGGTAGGTGTTAATAAATGAATCGGGAGCAAAATTGGGCATGTTGCTAAAGTCCATGCCTTTTAGGGCACTACATTAATACATTATCACAGATAATAGAATATAACTGTCGGAATCAAATATAAAACCTAATATTTTGGTATTTCATTATTTTTTCAATTTATACTAGGTACTGTCTGCTTCAAGAGAATTTAAATCAATAATTCAGTCAAAAAGTGATAGACGTTATGGACTAGCTCTTCATATAGTAGAGCAAGGGTCAGAAACCTTTCTGAAGTTGCGTGCCAAGGTTTAACCGTCCTGCTCTGGGCTGTGCTTCTCTACCGGGAGGGTGGTCTCTCTCCACTGGGTCAATGCATACCTTCTGGGTCAATGCATACCTTTCCACAGACTATCAGTTGCTAATGGAAACTCACCATTAATTACAAAATTTTACCCTAGCCATTTTGCTAATGCCGCATCTGCGAAAAATGGTGCAATTTAAATTATTAAACAGATTAAGCATTTTAACTTTCTCAGGTTCGTTTATCAAACTTAATTCTAAATATAATAAACCATTATGTCCAACACAAAAGGTTTCAATTTTTTCTTTATTTATGATAGAGGTGAGGAACCTTTTTTTAGGCTGAGGATTATAACCCACAGAAAAATCAGTAACGCAGAAAAGGTGAAGGAGACAAGGAAGCGGGGAGTAGAGGAAAGTGCAGCTTCTGCAAAGTAAAATTGTATTTCCCCCCCCCACATCGTCCCTCTGCTCCAGCCTTGCTCCCCTCAGCCCCATGATCTCCCCCAGCCTGATTCCCTGCAGCGCCCCATCTCCCTCAGTGTAACTGCTGCCCCCTCCAATCCTATCCCCACATCCTCCTTCACCCCTCCTGCCACCACATTCTTGTGCCCCCAGCACACTAAACCCTGTAGTAGAGCATTACATACATCTGAGAGTGATGTTTACTTTGAGTTAGCAGTGAATCTGTGAAATAATGTATACAATTTCAAAAGTGGCATCTTAAACTTCATGTATAAATGGACAATTTACATGTTTAGTTCATACACTTGCCTACAAAAATGTATATTTACGTGGTTCAGGTGACTTACATTTATATTTACATGGGTAATTATATTTATGTGGTTCAGGTGACTGTTACATGTACTGAATGTTTGCTTTATTTCTTAAGTCACCGGTTAAATGTGTTGGTATATCTGGATGTTTTGAACTACGATTAAAAGACCAATTTGGGAAAAAGCATTACTTTATTGTTTTATTTTATAAAAGGTGCCCTCTCCTGTGTCTTGGGACATGTGTTGAAAATTGTGAAAACAGCTATTTGTTGCTTGTTTATGAAGAGAAAAAAAACACTCCCGAAAATAAAAATTACTATCTTTGCCTCCTCTTAAGCAAATGATTGAGGAAAATATTTAGCCTCTGCTGTCCCCCTTAAAACCCACAGGCTCTAGGTTCTGCTGGACAGCTTGAAAAAGAATTCATTGTTCAGGGCCCTCCATTTGAGTCAATAGCTGTCAATAGCTACCAGATGTTTGCATATATGGTCTATGTAGATGAAGTGCCAGTTGATCACTCCTATTGTGATTGAGACAGAGACCCTAGATCTCAGGCACTCAGCCAGTTATCTGCCTTTTTGCATGTATGTTTCCCTTGTTTCATTTTCATGATCCCTTTTAAATAAGAATATTTGTAAGACAAGTGTAGCTTAAAACACTTTCAGCTATGGAAAATTTAAATTAAAGTATATTATCATGTCACCAGCAGTTCTGCCTTTCTAGTCTACACACATTGAATTAAAATTAGGTTTGAAAAAGGAAAAACCAAGGAAATAAAAACATGTTGAAATATTTGACAATATGATTTGTCATCTTACATGACTGCAATTATTGGATATATTTTCCATTCCATTTACTTTCTGGCATCGATCTCATCTCCATTGTTGTGGTAGATAGGGTGTTTAGGAATCTTACAGAGATTTGGGGGTATGTTTTCTCAGCCTCAACCCTAACCTAGTTATAAATACATATTCTGTCATTGTTACCACTGGTCATGCTTTGCAGGTGAAGATACGTTACAAGATGGTAGTCAGTGGTGTCTATCAATACTGTTTTTTAAAATGTAAGGATGTAGATTATTTTGCCTAACAAATTTTTCTTTAGAATCTCTTCTTATGGTTTTATGTTTTATTATTTTATGCATACTGTAAAAAATTACTTTGAACATTGTGAGTTTAATTTTTTTTCCTGCCAGGTGACGTTCGCAATGACATCTATGTAACATTAGTTCAAGGTGATTTTGACAAAGGCAGCAAAACAACAGCAAAGAATGTTGAAGTTACAATATCAGTTTATGATGAAGATGGCAAAAGATTGGAGGTATTTCTATTAGAAAATGTAATCTCGGAAATATTTCAGTGTATTTGCCCAAATCTTTCCAATATCATCTTGGAAGGCTTTTTAAATTTTATTTAAAGAATGCTTTGCCAAAGTTCTCTCACCATGTGTGACAAATAAATAAATATTGAGGTATTTATTGTGATGTGGTTTGATTGAAATTAATAAGTGATGAACTTAGTGCATGAGACCTTTTTTATTCTAACCTACATACCAGATCCTCTCTTTCACAATTGACTGAAAGTGCTGATTATTTTGTGCTATTTCAGATGGATATGTGTTTGTGGTTACATGTTTTTATTCCTTTTCTTTCAAGGGTGTGATTTTTCCTGGTGCTGGTGATGAAGCAATCTCGGAGTACAAGTCAGTGATATATTACCAAGTGAAACAGCCTCGCTGGTTTGAGACTGTCAAGGTATAGATGATGATAAAATAATTTGCCTCATACTGGGTTAATTACAAAATAAAATGGGAATAGGTTTTAATAACAAATCTTTAAAAACAAAATTAAGGGAATTAATGTGGTCAGTTGTGGGAAGGATAAAAGGATCAGCTAAGCAAAAGCCTTTCAAGGTTGCTAAGGAACATTGGCATTGAAGAGAATGTAAATTAATCCTCCATCCTTTTGGTCAAAATAGATTTTGACAGGGATATTTCACCATCTGTTTAAGATAACTTTCTTCTGTAAACAACAGTACAAAGAAATCATGGTAATCATATCTTATAATGACTTAATCATTAGTATATTGGGATGCTGAATTTATTTAAGCATCATACTAATGATGTTAAATGAACACCTTAGTAACAACTTTCTGAACTTGGTGCCAAAGTGTGAATATTAAAAATGAGGCCGTGGGTAGCCTTTTGAAAGACTGTTACAGCTGAAAATAATGTTAATTGAAAGGAGACTTGGCTAATATTTTTTTTCATTCTTGATATTCTTTCCAAAAAAAGAAGGCTCTTTCTCATTGCACTTGCAGCCAGGCGTTAGTTGCTGTGGGAATTATCAGTGCAGCTATAGTGAGGAAAAACCCTAAAGCAACGAGTTCTCAGAGGCCAGAATCAAATGACTTGGGCTTGTGGAAATTAAACTCAACCCTAGGGTTGGATAAAAATACCAGTGTAGATGTTCTTGCTTGAGTGGAAGGCAAGGCTCTGAGATGCTCCCCACCTTGTTGGGTCTCAGAGACCAGGATCCAGCCTCATTGGGAGCTATTTTTAGCTCTGTACTGTGAGCCCTACAAACCAGGGTCAGTTGACCTGGACTATGAAACTCATTACCGCAGTATTGTTTGTTTATTTTGCAGTGTAGACATATCCCCAGAAAACTATCTGTTGTGGTCAGAATTAATTGCAGACTTGTAGATCATCAACATGTTGCCCAAATTTAAATACGCTTAAGAAATCAGGACTGTTCTAATTATCTACTGAAGGGGAGAAATAGATTTGTAATTTTGTTTAAAGATTATTATTAGTTATTAATGTATCACCTATGTGTGTGGGACCTTTGGGAAAATGCACGGATGGGGTAAGGGTATATAATATGGTTGGCTAGTTTTGTGTATCTTGATGTGATTTACTTGAATTATTAGTAAGCTGAAGTTTTTTAATGATAGAACTTTGTGTCTGTACAAAGGAGATTGTTGAGATTGTGTAAATAACAACAACAATAATAAACAGGTTAGGATACACTCAGTCTTTAGATAGTGGAGAGCAGACGACATTGAGAGTGAAGGGAGTGGTAAGCGGGATGGCTCAAAAAAAAGGCTACCTGTACAGGTAGTATGGTGAGACCAAGGCAGATAGAGTGAATTGACAGTTGTTGACAGACCAATAGCATCCCCCTAGATCAGAGAGAGAGAGTGAGACAGACAGACTGGTCTAGAGAGCTGTGTAGTTACAGTGTAAGTCTCAGGAGTCTTATTAGTTGAGGTGAGAGGAGCTGACAACATCCAAAGGACAAAAAATCTTATGTCCGTTCTTGACGCTGTGAAGACATGCTGCTGCCCTTAGAATGAAGGACTCTTCAAGGGCTGTGCCCTGTATAACTGTGTAACGGGGCTACTTCGGGTATTTGTGGGAATGAGGGCTGATGGCTTTTGGTGTCTCTTTTGTAGCTTGCCTACTACTCCCATAAGATCATGTGATCTTGGTAGGCTTGGCTTTCTCCCACCCTGCTTCTTGTTGAGGGAGGGGATATTTCTTCCAGGAGAGCTAAGACCTTTAAAGATCTTTCATGGAAAAAGTGATGCTCGTCCTTAAATAGCCTGTTTGGAAAGAAGAAAACAAATTATTAGAAATGCAATCAAGCTAAAAGTACGTTATCTCTCTCTCTTTCTTGAAAATGCAGAAAATACATGTGAAGAATCCCTGTGAAAGTCTGGTATTGGTAAGTACTGTCTGAAGTTGTGGTTCTTATTTTTCTCTTCTGTTTTAATTTGTGAAGGTGGCAATTCCTATTGAAGATGTGAACCGCAGTCATTTAAGGTTTACATTCCGTCACAGATCATCACAGGACTGTGAGTATTTCAGTCATTCCCCTGTTGCTCCGGTCAGTTCTTGATGCCTAAACCTTTTATGATAGATTGTTTCTGGCCTTGAACTGATCAAAGGCTCTCCTTTGGTGTGGGGATGAGGTGGTGTTTCTACTATAACTGCTAGTCCAGTTGTTGTTGTTGTTGTTGTTAATTTATTTATATTGCAGCACATTGGAGCCCCCTTTTACTAGGTGCTATACAAGTTGTCTATTTTCCTTTGTTTCCTCTCCTTCTCCTGTTAGCGTTGGTGCCCTCTTCCTTCTTTTCTGCATACCTTCCCAAGTCACCAAGTGAGAAACCCAGTAAATAAATCAAGTGCCAGCTTTGCCTTAAGCAAGAGGCTGCTGGATAACCAGGTAGTGAGCCTCTTGACTGGGTTGGGAGACACTGTGGTCTTGAATGTAAGGCAGTGTAGACCTGGGTTCTAATCCTGCTTCTGATATTGGCCTGCTCTTTGTTTCCAGATTGTTGGGTATGCAAGCTATTTGCCTGCCTGCAAATCACTATCAGTTGAGGTACTCTGAGTGCTCCAAAATGATACCTAGTGACTAAGCATTTTCCATGTCTTAGCGATTGCTGAGATTGCAGTTACTCAGTATAGCTATTATACATGATTTTTTTGGATAGTATGTCTAATTTTCAAAATCTGCAGTAAAATTTTGTGATGGTATTATTTTATGTACTAAATCTTTAATCAGATAAGTTGTACTGGATGCATTTTGAAGTTTGTTGTAATTCTAGACATTTACTCTATAATGGTTGAATTATAAAGAACAGTCTGTTATTTTGGTGTAAAAAATTGTCATAAAAAAAACCTTGGTTATTTTAATAGAATATTTAACAGTTCTGCTAATGAAAATAATGTGCAGAAAATTACCGTTATAGTTATTACTGTGAACTACTAGTTGCTTTAGTAAGGCACATTTATACGATGTTACTGTAGTTCAGGGGTGGCCAAACTTAATAAGCTGCACGTTATTCATTCATTGTAGACTGGGGTTCAGGGCTATTGTTTGTTCTTTGGTCTCCAGCTATATGACTGTAGCCCTCTTGTTGCATCTCCCATCGAGATTTCTGTTTAATCTGTCTTTTACCTCTATATTCACTCATGGCTATGGATCCTTGCTTCCTCATGCAGATGCAATGAAAAGAAAAAGTAGGCACTGGTATTGCTGGCTACCACACTGGTTGTAGCATGGTACAGTCCTCCGTGGCATTCTTTGGAAAATCATGGGAGACAGGAAAGATTCCAGAGGACTGGAAAAGGGCAAATATAGTGCCCATCTATAAAAAGGGAAATAAGAACAACACAGGAAACTACAAACCATTTAGTTTAACTTCTGTGCCAGGAAAGATAATGGAGCAAGTAATTAAGGAAATCATCTGTAAACACTTGGAAAGTGGCAAGGTGATAGGGAACAGCCAGCATGGATTTGTAAAGAACAAATCACGTCAAACCAATCTGATAGCTTTCTTTAATAGGATAACGAGTCTTGTGGATAAGGGAGAAGCGGTGGATGTGGTATACTTAGACTTTAGTAAGGCGTTTGATACGGTCTCCCATGATATTCTTATCAATAAACTAGGTAAATACAACTTAGATGGGGCTACTATAAGGTGGGTGATTAACTGGCTGGATAACCGTACTCAGAGAGTAGTTATTAATGGCTCACAATCCTGTTGGAAAGGCATAACAAATGGGGTTCCCCAGCGGTCTGTTCTGGGACCGGCTCTGTTCAATATCTTCATCAACGATTTAGATATTAGTATAGAAAGTATGCTTATTAAGTTCGCAGATGATACCAAGCTGGGAGGGATTGCGACTAATCTGGAGGATAGGATCATAATTCAAAATGACCTGGACAAATTGGAGAAACGGTCTGAGGTAAATAGGATGAAGTTTAATAAAGACAAATGCAAAGTGCTCCACTTAGGAAGGAACAATCAGTTTCATACATACAGAATGGGAAGCGACTGTCTGGGAAGGAGTATGGCAGAAAGGAATCTAGGGGTCATAGTGGCCCACAAGCTGAATATGAGTCAGCAGCGTGATGCTGTTGCAAAGAAAGCAAACATGATTCTGGGATGCATAATGGGTGTGTTGTGAGCAAGACATGAGAAGTCATTCTTCTGCTCTACTCTGCGCTGGTTAGGCCTCAGTTGGAGTATTGTGTCCAGTCTGGGCACCGCATTTCTAGAATGATGTGGAGAAATTGGAGAGGGTCCAGAGAAGAGCAACGAGAATGCTTAAAGGTCTAGAGAACATGACCTATGAGGGAAGACTGAAGGAATTGGGTTTGTTTAGTTTAGAAAAGAGAAGATTGAGGGGGGGACATGATAGCAGTTTTCAGATATCTAAAAGGGTGTCATAAGGAGGAGGGAGAAAACTTGTTCTTTCTGGCCTTTGAGGATAGGACGAGAAGCAATGGGCTTATACTGCAGCAAGGGAGGTTTAGGTTGGACATTAGGAAAAAGTTCCTAACTGTCAGGGTAGTCAAACACTGGAATAAATTGCCCAGGGAGGTTGTGGAATCTCCATCTGTGGAGATATTTAAGAGTAGGTTAGATAAATGTCTATCAGGGATGGTCTAGACAGTATTTAATCCTGCCATGAGGACAGGGGACTGGACTCGATGACCTCTCAAGGTCCCTTCCAGTCCTAGTATTCTATGATTCTATGATACTATGCCCCTTTATTGCAGCTGATATCTGTTCACTGCACAATTCTCCCAACCCTTCACTCTGCCACTGTAGCCCTCTATAGTGGCAGATGCACTGCTCCTCTTGTGCCAGAGGCGATGCCTAATGGTTGTGGGACCACCTCCTTTGACAACTCTGCTGCTACCGTAGGTTTCTTCAGACATTATTCAGCAGAAGATCCACCATTCTCCTAGACTCTCAGGCACACCTCGGACTCCCAGGTGTGTCCACCAGACCAGTCATGGTATGCTCTGGCACCACTGCCTTGCTATACGCCTCCTTAGGGCCCACAGTATCCTCAGGACCTGACCTTGTAGGCACACTGGCTGCCTGTACCACTGCCCACACAGGCCTTGTATCCTTTATTCCAGGTCCCCGCACTGGAACCATCCTGCTTGGATCTGGAAATAGAGACGGAGTGGGAGCTGGTCCCACTTGTCCCAAAAATGGACTCTTCAACTACACATTCTCTAGCCTTGGGACTGTCTCACATTGCATTGCCGATAAACATCAACCTGCATAGGCAGCCTGGCACACCCAGTGTCTTGTACTCCATGCCTAAAAAGGCAGGTATTTTGTACCATTCAGTGGGCTGATTTCCTTTCTTTCCCCATCCATCCCCCATTTCGCTGGTGGTGCGAGCAGCATTAGAACAGGCGAGGCAGCACTCACCTTCCAAGAGTGTGGCAAAATGCCTGGTCTTCTGGGACGCAAGACTTCTTGCTCTGTGAACCTACAATTCCTCACATCCACTACCAGCCTCTACTAGTGAAGGATGATTTAAATTATTGTACCAAGCTAGAAGAGTTCTTTGAGGATCTGCCACAAGACAATCATTAACATTTCCAGGTCCTGATGGTTAGCTTGCAAGCGACAGTGGATATGGCAAACACATCCTTCTGCTTCCTGGCAGAATGTTTCTTCATTGTTACTGCAGAACCACAAGCTTAATAAGAGTCAACAGTGTGTCACTGGTGCGCAAAAAAAAAAAAAAAAAAAAGCAAACACAATTCTGGGATGCATTAACAAGAGTATTGTAAGGAAAATAGGAGAAGTAATTGTTCTGCTCTACTCTGCACCGATTAAGCATCAAATGGAATATTGTGTCCTGTTCTGGATGCTGCATTTCAGGAAAGATATGGAAAAACTGATGATTAAAGGTCTAGAAAACATGAGCTATGAGGAAAGACAGAAAGAATTGTGTTTCTTTAGTTTGGAAAAGAGAAGACAGAGTGGACATGATAGCTGCTTTCATGTACCTAAAAGTGGGGTACAAGGAGGAGGGAGAAAAAATATTCTCCTTAATCTCGGATGATAGGACGAGAAGTAATGGGCTTAAATAGCAGCAAGGGAGGTTTAGGTTGGACATTAGGAAAAAAATTCTAACTATCAGGATGGTTAAATACCTAGAGAAGTTGTGGAATCTCCATCGCTGGAGTTATTTAAGATCTGTTTAGACAAACACCTGTCAGGTATGGTCTAGATTGTGCTTGGTACCTGCCATGAGTGCAGGACTCTGGACTTGATGAATTCTCAAGGTCCTTTCCAGTTCTAGTATTCTATAATTCTATGTGAAAAGAGGCCTGGCTGCACTCCTCTAGCTTTCCCCAGAAAGGTCCATATGACCATCCAGGACCACCCCTTTGATAAAGACTTGTTGTTCTTGGTGAAGACATAAGAGTCCCATCACTCACAAAGGACTTAAGAGCTACTCTCTGGTCTCTCAGGTTGTACACCCTGGTGGCTCTTCAAAAGGAACAGAAGTCACCCTTCTGGACATGCACAGGGTCAGCATCTACACGCTGACATTTCTAGTTTATATGGGCTTGAACAAATACGCAATTAACCAATAAGCATGGGCTTAGCAGTTAATTTTATTGACTACATGCATTTCTTCCCCCTCCCCCACTACCTCTGTATCATGGAGAGGGGGAGCAGGAGCTGGTGCCCGTGAGGAGCTGGCTTAAAAGTCCGCACTCCACAACTACTGGATCTGCCTCCCCCACCCATGCTGCTGCCTCTGATAGAGAGGCAGCAGAGTGGAGGGGGAGGGGGCTGGCTGGAGCCAGTACACTCAGGCATGGAGGCAGGCAGGAGCTGGTGCTGTGGGGAGCTCCCTGGTGCCGCCTGCCTCCCCTGCGCTGCTGCCTCTATTAGAGATAGCAGCGTGGGTGGGGGATGGTAGGGGAGGCTGTCATGAAGCAGCCTCTGTCTGCGGTGGGCCCAAGCTCCCCATGGACAGAGGCTGCTCTGTGGGATGTTGAGCAGCCTCTGTGTGTGGCAAGCTCAGACCCCCTACAGACAACTTTTCTCCTTCCCTGATCGCACAGTATCTCCTGAACAGCAAGCTGGGTGCTCTCTACATTACTTCACCACCTGTTGTGCCATCAACCAAGGAGACCAAAGACGTGACTGTGGGTCATGCCATCCTGAAGATGGCAATACCTGTTGCATCCTTGCACCCACCTCTAAGCTGATCCGAGCTTAATACTCACCTGTTTTTGGAGTACATTTGGAAACTTTCATTCAGAGAAGGCAACTGGAGGTTCTTAGAGATGTGTGGTCTCGGTTTGTATTCCAATACCCATTCACCATTTGCTATGCTGCATACAACCCTGTTCAGCAGTAAGAGGGTTACTAAAGGAGTGTTGGCCTGCATGACCTCTTATAACCTCTCCTAGAGCACAAAGGCAATGTAGGATTCATACGTGGGTCAACAAACACTGCTGCTGAAAACCTTACAGCAGTTTGCATTGGGAATGCAAATAGGGACCACGCATATTGAAGAACTTTCAGTAACAGGTAAGTAAGCTCCTCATCTCTACTGCAATGTAATTATGTGCCAAGCTTTTATTAAGGATGCTTATGTGTGGGCTGCTTTGGGATAAAGGCTGACTTTTTTGTTTTGCATTGATATAGTGACTAGCATAATGAATCCTTAGCTATATGTAGAGCTCCTGGGTGCTATGGTAATACAAATAATAAGTGGTATTAATAAACTAGCTGAAAAACTTTCATTCCAGTTATAAAAAATATAAAAAAACTTTCATTCCAGTTATAAAAAATATCACCGTGTTGTTTTATTTGTATAAAAATGTAGGTCAAAATTTTAAAACATTGGTGCCTAAATTGAGCCTTTTAAATCCATAAGCAATCTGACTTTTAGAAATACTGAGCACTGAGCAGCTCCCAAAGAGGTCAGTTTTAAGAACCTGGTTTTTGAGAGTGTTTATTTTACTAGCTAGATTGTGCCTTATGTATGCGTCCTTACTCAATTTCTTACCCCTTTTCCTGCATATGGGAACAGTTATCACTGCCAGACCTTTTCTAAGTGATTTTTCCTTGAGATATTGGAGAAGGGTGTCTGTCAATATCTGTTACTTAAACTATGCTATGTGTCTTATTTTTTTAACAGCCAAAGATAAGTCAGAGAAAATATTTGCTTTAGCATTTGTGAAGCTGATGAGATACGATGGAACAACTTTAAGGGATGGAGAGCATGATCTTTTAGTGTACAAGGTATAATTCTAAAGATATTTGCATCAGTCTGCACAGATTTGGTTATTGTGAAAGCTTCACTTTATGGACTCTATTACATATAAGTCTAGGTATAATTACATGCAAAAATTACATTGAGTGAACATTGTTAGCAGAGTCAAGCACTGGAAATGTAAGAAGGATTGGGTGATTTCTGTAAGACTCCTTCAGAATGATGCCCTGAGGGCTCATCAGGACCCAGTAGTATGTGTCTTACAATTGGGATACTCGGAAAAGTGAGGGGAAAGTCTTGAATAAGTTGTACTGTGCATGTGGAAGTGGTGATTTTGTAGGGTTTGTAACTTGGTTGCATATGGATGGATTTTCCTGGGAAGCACAAAGCATGCCTTTGGTCATGTAAATTTCAAACCAGATGAGTGCTAATGCTGTAAAAAAACAAATAAACTTTAACCTTGAAATTTTTCTAAAACAGGAACAAATGTTAAGTACATTGACCATAGTTATGAAGAGATTTAGGATAAATCCATTTATTCGTGTTGAAGGGTACACTATATAACTTTGTCCTTTATTATTTACATTGTTTTTCGTATTGCATTTTAAATAAAAAAATCTTTCAGGCTGAAGCAAAGAAGTTGGAGGATGCCTCAACATACTTAAGCTTGCCATCCACGAAAATAGAATTGGAGGAAAAGGGGCACCCTACAACTGGGAAGAGCATGCAAAATCTTGGAAGCTGTACCATCAGCAAAGATTCTTTCCAGATTTCTACTCTGGTTTGTTCAACAAAACTCACTCAGAATGGTGAGTTGTTAGAAGAAATGTTTCTATACCCCATGTATCCCCTTAAGTTGCCTACGGTTATCAGTGTGAAGGGAATGTATTATTGTTTTCTTTTATGAAGGAAGTTTTATACTGCTGGTGAAGAGTCTTGATTGACCACTGGCAAATTAAGTACTGTCTAAACACAGCACAAGTGCAGTGTGAGAAGTGTCAGTGTAGCATCCAAACCTTGCTCTGCCTATATGATTTAGTCATTCCCTATCTAAGGATCAGAGAATATTTGCAAGCAGATTTAAGTGAAGGTTCATGAGGGTGTAAAACAGGGCTATAGGCACAGAAAGTAGTAGTGCGGAGGGTGAGGGTGTATGCTGGAGCACCCCTAGGTATTGCTCCTAGTGTCGCGGCCACCTGGCTCACAGTAGGAAAGAAGGGGGCAACTGCCCTGCATCCTGCCAATACAAAAGAGACCAGGCCTCCCAACTGCTACGACTGTAGCTGTATCTGGGGCCCAGGTCCTTTAAATTGCTGCTGAAGTGCTGTGAGCTGGGGGTGGGAGTGTGCCAAGGTCTGGGTAGCACTGAGGGCTGGCAGCCCCCAACCCTGCCCCTTCTGGGGTCATGGAGCCAATCTCCTCCCGCCTTGCAAAGGTGCCTGGTGAATCTGTCACCCTCATTGCCCCTAGCTGCCTGGAGGCTTCGCTCCCTGCCCTGTGTACTGCTGGACAGCTCTGCTGCTGGCCCCAGAATCTTAACCACCCACCTCACGTGCGGGGCTCCCAGCTGCTGGTACCACTGCCAGCCTAGGGTTTCTACCATGGGTCTGCATAGAGTGTTCTCTGGGCTCCATTTGGCCTCCAGCCCATTCAACCAGGGGCTCAGCTGCTGGCCCAGTGTCCTAGCTGCTGGCCCAGCATGAAGGATCCCAGCGGCCAGCCCTAGTTATAGGGAGTAGTGAGAGGCACAGAAAGGGGGAAGTGTGGAGTGTAGCTCCAGCACCCCCTAAACAGGACGCCATAGGATTTTTCTAAAACTTTACAGTTTCTAGCATGGGTGGAAACTGGTGTGTGGGAGAGGATGATGGGACACATTCAACACATTTTTTCAAAGCGCTTTTGTGAATAGAAGAGCTGGTTAAGAGGCTGCTGTTGTGCTCATCGATAGGCTGCCTTGTATTAATTTTGTGCGATGTTCTCCAAGGATATGTCTACACAGCAGTGTTATTTCAGAATAACTGATGTTATTCTGAAATAACATAGTCTGCATCTATACTGCAAGCAGTTATTTTGACATAATGTCGAAATAATGTCGAGCTGGAGGACTTCTTACTTTGACTCCTGTAAGCATGATTTTATGAGGAGTAAGGAAAGTCAGAGGAAGAGAGTGCTCTTTCTTGGACTTCCTGCTGTGTAGACTGCACCAAAAGCCAAAATAAGCTGTTTTGACTTGAGCTACGTCAATTGCATAGATTAAGTTGCGTAGCTTAAATCAGCTTTAGCCCTGCTGTGTAGACATACCCCAAGTGATAAGTTCTACCCTCTTTTTATGTCTGGCATAGTGACCAGAGCAGGGATAGATAGAAGGGTCTGGAAGGGAGGAGAAAGCTGCCAAGCCTCCTCCTGGTGTGGCCAGGAGGGCCAAATGAGAGGGAACATTGCTTTCGGGTCACGCTGGCTGCACCATTTCAAGCTTAAGACCGCCTTGGCTTAACTAGGAGATTGACCATGATCTAAAAATAAAAAGGAGTCATATAAAAAGTGGAAACTAGGTCAAATTACAAAGGATGAATATATTTTGTGGCGCCAGTTCTTACAAGCAAGTTTCAAGTTAATTTACACTTGCAATAATAGCAGAGAAAAAGGAGGGACTAGACAGAATTGGGAGGCAAAATCAAATCAGTATCTTAGATGCCTATATACAAATGCAAGAAGTATGGGGAATAAGCAGGAAGAACTTGAAGTCCTAATAAATAAACACAACTATGACATAGTTGGTATCACAGAGACTTGATCTTGGCGAGCCCTGTGTGTGTGTGTATCTATAACTATAGCTATAGCCGGTATAAACAGGGAGGAGGTATTGCCTTATATATTAAATATGTATACACTTGGATGGGTGTAGAAGACAGAAGCATTGAGAATTTCTGGGTTAGATTAAATGGGGTAAAAAAACCAAGCGTGATATTATGCCAGGTAGATGAGGTTGATGAGGCTTTTTCTAAACAACTAACAAAATCATCCAAGCGCAGGATTTGGTGGCTATGGGGGACTTCAACTATCCAGACCTATGTTATGAAACTAACACAGCATGGCACGGATTATCCAATAAGTTTTTGGACTGCATTGAAGACAATTTTTTATTTCAGAAGGCTGAAAAAGCTACTGGGGAGAAGCTGTTCTAGATTTGATTTTAACAAATAGGGAGGAACTGGTTTACAGTTTGAAAGTGGAAGGAAGCTTGGGTGAAAGTGATCATGAAATCATAGAGTTCATGATTCTAAGGAATGGTAGAAGGGAGAACAGCAAAATAGAGACAATGGATTTCAGGAAGGCAGATTTTGGTAAACTCACAAAGCTGGTAGGTAAGGTCCCATGGGAGGCAAGATTAAGGAAAAATAACTGAAGAGAGTTGGCAGTTTTTTAAAGGGACATAATTAAGAGCCCCAAAGCAAGCTATTGTACTGCATAGAAAAAATAGAAAGTATGGCAAAAGACCGCCTTGGCTTAACTAGGAGATTGACCATGATCTCAAAATCAAAAAGGAGTCATATAAAAAGTAGAAACTAGGATAAATTACAAAGGATGAATATAAGCAAACAATACAGGTAGATAGGGGTAAGATCAGAAAGGCAAAGGCACAAAATGAGCTCAAACTAGCTAGAGACATAAAAGGAAACAAAACGACAGTCACACCCACACACACTTTCTAAACAACTAACAAAATCATCCAAGCGCAGGATTTGGTGGCTATGGGGGACTTCAACTATCCAGACCTATGTTATGAAACTAACACAGCATGGCACAGTGTGACGGGCTGAGGTCACAGAAGGCTTCCTGGAGTGCTGACACAGCCACTGCCACTCACCTTCCCACTCTCTGGGGGCTTCTCATCACTCAGTCCTGCTGGGCAGCTCTGCTAGCTTGGGTGAAAGTGATCATGAAATCATAGAGTTCATGATTCTAAGGAATGGTAGAAGGGAGAACAGCAAAATAGAGACAATGGATTTCAGGAAGGCAGATTTTGGTAAACTCACAAAGCTGGTAGGTAAGGTCCCATGGGAGGCAAGATTAAGGAAAAATAACTGAAGAGAGTTGGCAGTTTTTTAAAGGGACATAATTAAGAGCCCCAAAGCAAGCTATTGTACTGCATAGAAAAAATAGAAAGTATGGCAAAAGACCGCCTTGGCTTAACTAGGAGATTGACCATGATCTCAAAATCAAAAAGGAGTCATATAAAAAGTAGAAACTAGGATAAATTACAAAGGATGAATATAAGCAAACAATAAAGGTACATAGGGGTAAGATCAGAAAGGCAAAGGCACAAAATGAGCTCAAACTAGCTAGAGACATAAAAGGAAACAAAACGACAGTCACACCCACACACACGGGCTCGACAAATAATGTAATCTACTTGCACGTGGCAAGTAGATTACAACCTGGAAGAGCCGGCGCAGAACGATCTGCACATGCGTAGAGCACAGAATCGCGTGGCTGGCGAGTGGCGTTCGCTGCCGCTTGGCGAGCCCTGTGTGTGTGTGTATCTATAACTATAGCTATAGCTATATCAGAAGCAAGAGGAAGACCAAGGACAGGATAGGCCCACTGCTCAGTGAGGAGGGAGAAACAATAACTGGAAACTTGGAAATGGCAGAGGTTCTTAATGACCGAAACAAAGAAGTCTTCACCAAGAAGTCTGATGATGAAGGGATGCCTAACATAGTGAATGCTAGCAAGAGCTGGGGAGGGCGGGAGGCAAGATTAAGGAAAAATAACTGAAGAGAGTTGGCAGTTTTTTAAAGGGACATAATTAAGAGCCCCAAAGCAAGCTATTGTACTGCATAGAAAAAATAGAAAGTATGGCAAAAGACCGCCTTGGCTTAACTAGGAGATTGACCATGATCTCAAAATCAAAAAGGAGTCATATAAAAAGTAGAAACTAGGATAAATTACAAAGGATGAATATAAGCAAACAATAAAGGTACATAGGGGTAAGATCAGAAAGGCAAAGGCACAAAATGAGCTCAAACTAGCTAGAGACATAAAAGGAAACAAAACGACAGTCACACCCACACACACGGGCTCGACAAATAATGTAATCTACTTGCACGTGGCAAGTAGATTACAACCTGGAAGAGCCGGCGCAGAACGATCTGCACATGCGTAGAGCACAGAATCGCGTGGCTGGCGAGTGGCGTTCGCTGCCGCTTGGCGAGCCCTGTGTGTGTGTGTATCTATAACTATAGCTATAGCTATATCAGAAGCAAGAGGAAGACCAAGGACAGGATAGGCCCACTGCTCAGTGAGGAGGGAGAAACAATAACTGGAAACTTGGAAATGGCAGAGGTTCTTAATGACCGAAACAAAGAAGTCTTCACCAAGAAGTCTGATGATGAAGGGATGCCTAACATAGTGAATGCTAGCAAGAGCTGGGGAGGGCGGAGGTTTAGAAGATAAAATAAAAAAAGAATAAATTAAAAATTACTTAGAAAAGTTAGATGTCTGCAAGTCACCAGGGCCTGATGAAATGCATCCTAGGAAATCAAAGAGTTGATAGAGGAGGTATCTGAGCCTTTAGCTATCATCTTTGAAAAATCATGGAAGTCAGGAGAGATTCCAGAAGACTGGAAAAGGGGAAATATAGTGCCCAGCTATAAAAAGGGAAATAAGAACAACTCAGGAAACTGCAGACCAGTCAGTTTAACTTTTGAGCTGGGAAAAATAATGGAGCAAGTAATTAAGAATTCATCTGCAAACATCTGGAAGAAAATAAGTAGGTGATAGGTAACAGCCAACAGGGAGTGGTAAG